CACCATCATATATCAATTTACTTAAGTATTAATAAAAGTCTGGGGCAGGAGCTACACCCCAAATATTAAAAAAAATATATATATATTTTTATAAAATTTAATTTTGTTTGAAGGCCAATTATAATTGGTTAAAAAATATTAGAATATTAACTAATATATGTTAAATGACCTTCTAAGGTCATTTAGGTTTTGAAATGACCAATAACTAATCATTTGTTATTTGGGTTATTTGGGTTATTTCAGATCATTTACCAACTCTGCCTATAACATATACTCCATGCCCTGGCTGTGACTTTAACTCTAATTAGCTAACTAACTACTACACTATTAAAATATCTAATACTATATCTATACAATTTCTAGGAAGAAAAACAACCAACAAGTAGGTTAAACTAAATACAAACTACATTGATTTAATATACTCTACAGCAATCAAACATTCTATTACTATTCCACTATTACCTAATATCAACATTACAGACTTCCTAGTCCTGGTCCTTTTCCACACTAATGAAACCTGCCTAAAACTATTACAATACTCTCTTACTAATAGTAGTACACAAATATTCACTTTTTATACAAATGACTTAGTATCAGACATAGGTACCAGTAACTGCTCAATGGGAATAGGTTGGATACAACTAGATAATAACCAAATTATCAACCAATTTTTAGCCAAAATTCTTAATTGGTCCTCCTCATACAAGACCAAGCTCATTGCAATTTTATCTGCTATTTCTATAGTACCTTGTAATGCCAGAGTTGATATATATACCAACTCTTAGTCAATTATATCCAAATATGATAAACTTCTATATACCTTTACCAAATCCTCTAAATACTTTAAATTCGACTACTAGCCTATATGGCATATGCTCTTTAATGCTATCAAGACCTTCAATATCTAGCTTTCTCTTTATAAAGTTCAAGCATATACAAATAACCTGTTTAACAACTTGGCTGACTCTCTAGCTAAAAAGCATCAGGAACCATCAACCTATATTCTCCAATTTAACTATACCAACATACACAACCCCAATTTTATTATTTAGTGGAAAGGACAATCTATAGAAAACCCCAGACAACTAATTAAAAATATTGGCAGAGCATATATAATAGCAATGTGGTTCTTACAAAAATGTAATGCTAAATGGGAAAGTTATACCCAAACAATCAACTGGGGCTCAACTTGGCTCTATCTCAATGATAACTCAAAAGCTACAACTAATATCACATCTCCCAAACTAAATCAGATAAAAGTATTTAGAGTCAAAAACTTGCTCAATAAACTGCCAACCTACTACTACTTCCACTATATTATGCCTAAAATATTTTTAGCCAATATCTGCTTTGTATGCAATGCCCCAGACTCAGCTATACGCTGGCTTATCTGCCACAACCCACAAACGATTAACCAAATCGTTCACCTCTCAATTTCGAAAATGATTGCCAAACACCTTAGCAACCAGACTCTAATACAAGAGAGAGCAATAATAAACCTTATCAAATCTCATATCTCCTTTAACAATATTCTTTCTTCTAATCCCCAAACACACGCACTATCTACTACTATCAAGGGACTTATTTCATCCCACTTGCTACAAGCACTACAAGCAGTCAATATACAACACAAAGAAGCAGCAGATATCATAATTCGGATACTTCTACATATATCAACAGAGACCCATGAGCAGTGTTGTACATAGGACAATTTTGAACAATTTTGAACATTTTTTCAAATTAAAATTACTTAAAATTTTATTAAGATAATCTATCTTAATTTTTTCACCAATAAGTCTATCACTTAAGAATATATATAATTATGCATTTTTTTAAATTATTTTATTGATTAGTTAAACATGAGACATAGGTTTGGACGATTTTGAACAATCTTGGATGTTGTACATTTTACATAGTGTGGACACGTCCCATGTACAACACTGCCCATGAGCAAATCTGGAAGCTATATAGTGAAAAACTTGCAAAATAAAAAAAGTAGCACAAACATACAAACCTTCAATCAAACTAAACAAACTATATACAAACAAGTACAAAGCCAATGGAAAAAACCTCAAAGATTTACTTATAGCTGCCTGTGTGGCCTACTAGACCAACAGCACGATAACAATAATTGCCCTCCTGAAGGGCAGGCACAACACAAATTCAATTAATAGTCAATAGCATGGATACAATTCAGCATTTCTACAAATTACATACTAACTATTAAAACCTAGATGAGTCTTGACTACTCTAGTAGATTTAGATCGCAGATAATTAGCTTAAGCTTTTAGTCTGAGCTCCCATTCTTGTATATAATTTATAAATACTTGTTATTATACAAATTTAGTTTTTATATAGTTTCTATATAATTACTTATATAAATTATCTAATAAAGATATAAACAAGGCCTCACCTTAATATCAATAAATAAATAAATAAATAAATATTATAATACAAGAATTTTTTGTTAAAGAATTAAAAAAAAAAAATACAAGAATTATTTGTTATATAGACAATTGCTAATATTATTTGAAATCTGTTTTTTGCAAAATTTCTTTGGTTTTGTTTACAAGAAAAGATACTTTGTTAATTTACAAACAAATTAGCAATATCAATAACATATTTTTAGTAGTTTTAAATATTATAAATTCATAAATAAAGTTGCTAAATATAGTTAATTCAATTCTTTCCAATAATCACTTTTACTAAAAATTTCCATAAAACGTTTTACTATGAAAAATACAAACAGCTATACTAGACTTATAAGATATACAAAAAAAGACCTTAGGATAGCAACTATTATTTAGAAATAGTTCTCATATACTATTTGCCAATTTTTTCAGAGTTTATTACTTACTGTAGTGACAGGTACAGTACTTGTCATTTAGAGATAGTTCTCATACACTTCTGCTAACAAGCTCAAAGCTTAACATTTACTGACAAAACTTAGTACTGTGTATACTCTGGTGTCACAGTTTAATTTGATACCTCGTGATTTTGTGATGCTAATATCTGATCAGAATCAGGGTATGTTGATGGCGTAATCAGAATTTGTATAATGCAGGATTTAATTAAAAGTCTAATTGTAGATAGTCTAATATGTGTAACTGGATATATTAATATCTGGGTTAAATCTTGTAATATTTAAAGCGAACATAATATAATAATAATAAACTAGCTTTTAGTTTTAGCTTAGTGAAAGTTTAGCTTCAGCATTAGTAAAAACAATCTTACATATACACTAAGTGGTCATCTATATAGTTAAAGTATCTAAACAGAATATGGAGTACCTGTATGATACTCCAGTCATCGTAATTGGCCAAGCGAGTGTAAATTGATAGTAAAGACCCACAAATACATAATAGTTTGGGTAACTCTATGATACAAGGACCTGGGCAAGCGAAGGTCTACTCACTAAATTAATTAAAGTATTGGTCATATGGGGGGGAGTCAATAGAAAAGGGACAAATCATTTTTAGTAAAATTTTTTTAATTTTTAAATTAAAATATCTCAACAACTATTACTCAAATTTGCTAAAAATTTTTTTATTTTAATCTTGAAATTATATAGAACTAAAATAAAAAAATTTTAATTAAATTTAATAAGATAATTGTCAAGATATTAAGCCTAAAGTCAGGAAAACTTTTATTTAAAAAAAATTTGTCTCTTTTCTATTGACTTACCCCATATACTTTGTGGACAAAGCTGTATTTAGAGAAATTCAGTAATCAAGTGTGAACAAATATAGTAATTCAAGTGATATGAAAGAAAAAACATTGTGGTAAACAAAAGAAAATAGAAAGTGGGAATTTTCTGATGTTGTTGGTTAGAAGAGTTACAGAAATTGTTATAAAAGAGGTTATGAGTAACCTAAATACTGCATAGACAAAGCAACAAAGGCCTCGGCTATGCTATGTATATTGATGCCAAAGACATTTAGCCCGTTTCTGTTTGAATCAAGTGAAATGTAAATGTCAAAAACATAATATGGATAAAGTAAAAGAGAAGAATTATAAAAAGTCTTGGAAAAGTAATTAGCAAAAAAAAAAGAAAAAGGATATGGATCTGGGCAATAAAGTTCAGCATGGATGATTTTTAAAAATTCTATAAAAGTATTAAGGTAAATAAGTTAAAGATAAAAAGGAAAGATTATACTAGACTTAGTAGTCAAGATGATGTAAATGCAAAAGAGAAAAAGAAAGTTAAAGATAAACCTGAAGGCCTTGATAAAGAAGGCGTTGAAGGTAGTAAAGGTAATGATAATGAAAAGTCATTTGATTATTGCCAAAAATCTGAAAACATAGATAGTTTTGATGAAACCTATAATGATAAGGATTGGTATAAGGCAGTTGATTGTTATCAAAACCCTGCTGATATAGGTAATGTTAATGAACTGTTAGTTGGCATTGTTACCATTGTGAAAATGGTATTGAAAAGGATAAACATAAAGCGATTATTCATTATCAAAAACTTAAAGATATGGGTGAAGTTGGCAGAATTAATGATAAAGATCATTGCCATCATTATGGAATTGGAGCCAAAATGAATATACATAAGGTATTTGTTAATTATCAAGAAACAACTTACTATAAGTATGGTGAAGTCGATGCCGAAAGGGATGAACATGAGTCATTTATTAATTACCAATGCCTGAGAAAGATAGAGAGTATAGATAGAATGAATAACCTTGGGCCCAGTAATCAAAAGGCAATTGGAGTTAGCAACAATGAATACTTCGAGAAAACTAGCTCAGATAGTAGAGCTGAAGTTTGTTCCAATGATGAAATTAAAGTTGCAACAAATAAACAAAAAGTTGGAAATAAAAGAAAAATTAGTAGAGAAAGAATGAAGGTTAGTGGAACAAATGTGGATGTAAACAATATGAAGAAAGGTGTGGTCATGATGAAAAGTAATAAAAAGGAAATAGGTGTTAAAGGTAATAAGCATGTGGAATCAATATACCATGCTCTTTTAGTAGATGGATGGATGAAGAAATGTATAATGATTATAGTAATAATCCTGTATTGTTATGTTATAGAAATCATGGAAGAATCATAAAGAGTAACATTAGAAATGTGAAATCAGGAATGTCAAGTAGACAAAGGCCTAAAAATTGTAAAAATTGTGGCATGATTGGCATCAGTCAAGGTGAAAGGAATGCTGTGAACGAAGAGCAAATCATATTGGAACATAATAGAAAGTGGAATTCTATAAGTGTCTATATCTGGACTATATTGTTGGATGTGATAGCTTGGTGAACGTGGTGTTTGGAAGCCGTCTGGAAGTGTGAAAGCTAGGGAGAATAGATGTGAGAGTGCTATTATATGTGAGTTATGAAAATTAATATGAAACATTTGAGAAAAAAAAAAAAAAAAAAGATACTTGTCTTGGAATATGAAGTTTTGAAGTGTTTGGTACACATGATACACATGATATATATGCTGGTCGACGAAATTATACACAGTAATAGGTACTGAAATAAGATCCAATTAAGTGATAGTTGGCAATTAGAGTGCCAAAATAAGGTATGATTATGTGACAATCGGTAGTGTAGACTGAAATACCGAAGTAAGAAGTGAAAAAAAAACCCCCCAATTTTTAGTATTAGTATAATTAGTGTTAATTGAACATTTTGTGGTTAGGTTGGAATATATAGTAGAATAGTTGGTAAATGAGGATATTGTTAGTAGAAACTTTGGGGACGAAGTTCTTGGGTTCTAGCTCATGTCATAGTTTAATTTGATACCCCGTGATTTTGTGGTGCTGATATCTGATCAGGATTGGGGTATATTGATGGCATGATCAGAATTTGCATAATGCAGGATTTAAAAGTTTAATTGTAAATAGTCTAATACATGTAACCAGATATATTAATATCTGAGTTAAATCTTGTAATATTTAAAGTAAATATAATATAATAATAATAAACTAGCTTTTAGTTTTAGCTTAGTGAAATTTTAGCTTTAGCATTAGTAAAAACAATCTTATATATACACTAAGTGGTCATCCATATGGTTAAAGTATCTAAACAGACAGTGAAGTACCTGTATAATACTCCAGTCATCGTAATTGGCTAAATGAGTGTAAATTGATAGTAAAGACCCACAAATACACAGTAGTTTGGGTAACTCCATGACACTGGTGTAGCTTTATTTGATTTTAGTAAAAGAAACTTACACTTTTTTATTTTGTATACAAGTAGTTTTTCTCTTTTACTCCACCTTTCTGCTATTCTTATAAAAAGTTTGACAAAAAGTAGGCATTCTAGCTTACCCCCTTCAAAAAATCGGCATTGTTTATATCTTTCATTTTTGAACAAACGAAGTAGGGCATAAACACAGGATTGTTTTGGCAATAATGACTTACACCACATGACAAACCAATTAGTGCTTTGGTTGACAAACCGACCTGGACTAGATAGTAAAGTTAAAAAAAAATTTTAATAATAAGACTTAGCTTTACAACAAAAATATACAAAATTTTTAAATTTAGTATATAATTTTTACAACTTGTGTCTAATACAGGCTATAATAGTACTTTTATAGATTGTTTTTTTTTTGTCTTTTTCTTCTTCTTTTATTTGTTTTTTTTATTTATATTCTTGTTGCTTAGGCAGTTTTTTTCTTTTTCTCTTTCATTTTGTTTTCTTTATTTTTTAGTGTTAGTATTTTTTTTTTATAAGTTAGTTGGAGACTATAAATCCTTCTGCTCAGAAAGCTAAAGAAGAAAATTAGAAAAGATAGTGATCTTAATAGGTTGTAAATACTATTCAGTAATATATTGAATAATTCATTTGCAGGGTTGTTTAGTATAGAAATAAATATTTACTATAGCAGATCAAACATAAGTATTTGTTGAAAACAACCAGGTTAGCTAATACTTATAACTTAGATGGGCTTAAGGTGACTTGAGTTATAATTAATATTTTACCTATGAGTTTAATATTGCATCCTAATAAAGTAATTATCAAGATTGCCGAATTTTATAAAAAAATAAAAAAAATAAAGTTGCTAGACATATTTGTCTAGACAGATTGTAGTATTAGTAAAGATTGATATAATAATTAATTTTTTTTAAAAAAGTTGAAAAATAATTTTGTTAAAATATGTTTTTACAACTTATTTACAGAAGAAGATTAGTAACTAGAAGTCAATTCTTGAAGAAAGTTTTTGAGATATAGATTTTTAATAAAATTAAAAAAAATATTGCTATATAATTGCATTTAAGAGATTTAAATAAAGTTATAAAATTTTTCAAACTATGCTGAAAACAGGAGCTTTGTATACCAATTTGCAATACTTTTTTGTTTTACTAACTTTACAATTAATTTATCTTTATCTACTTTATCTAATTTATCTTTTTTATATTTAGTAAGAAGTATTTGTTTAGTAATATTTAAAAGATAACTTGTTTTTAACCTTAGTTCTGCTACTAAATAAACTTATCCCTAACTAAAAGATATATATAATACTTGAATATTAAACTAAAAACTTTTTAAACCATTAAGAAACAGCCATTTGGCCCTTTTTCTTATATTTAACTTAATAACTCTAAAATGGCTATTTAAACCTATTTTTCAAACCTAGAAAAACTTAAAGAGCTCACTGTTCCCATCATAACAAGCTAAATTTCAAGCTTGTAGACCTAAAACTGACAGAATTACACTTAAAAAATCTTCCAAACCCCCTTAAGTTTTTCTCTTTTTTTCTAAAGTTCCTTTTTACAAAAAACTCTATAGGCGTTTTCTGTGCAACACTAACTATTTTTAGACCATACTACTACGTTTTTAACTACTCCAAAATTAGTGGTTCTCTATTAATTACACCAATTTCATTCTAATTTTTAATTAAAATTTAATATTTACAAAACAGGAAATATTTAACTAATACGAATATTATAGTTTGCATCTATTAAATTACAGTTACGCAACACAACTTGTGCCACACCAGCCACACTAGCCACAGTTACACAAGCCACAGTTATACAAGTCATAGTATCTAGAAGGTTCTATAGCATAATATTACATGAAGAAAAAATTACACCATTCTAAAGCTAATTACAACACCATCCCGAATTTACCAATATTTATAAGATATAATGCCAACTCCTATTAATAAACTAGCAGATACCTTAGATCTCGACTATTTTCACTCGATCTGTAAAAATAGTTATAGTATTGCTCTTTTTGAAGGAGAGGGGAAAAGTCATATGAGACTGATTCCTTCCACACAAGCTCTAATAACCTGCATTACCAAAAGTACTAGAGCAACCAACAAAACTACTCATTTCTACTGGGCACCTGACTCAATCTCTCTTGTTAAATATCTATGTAACAAATATTACACTAAATTTGTCTCTAACCTCGACAAAACCTACAAACTTTATACAGACTTCTCTGTAGTCAAAACTGAAAAAAATACAAGTCCACATGATATTAAACTAACTGCTACTCTTATCAACCAGATCTTCAACACAACCAAAAACATCCCACCCTCCTCTACTCTTCAACAATGTTATTATCAATGGTCTCAATGTTGTTTAACTATCACTTGCAAATTTTATAATGAAAGACACCACTCAACTGAAAATTATAAAGTAATTAATAAAGAAGTCTACTATGCTTATTGTACAACTACACTCGCATCCTCTTCCGACACATCCCAAACCAATATCTTAGATTCAACCAGAAAAGAAATAACCCCTCTTTTCCAACAAGCTTTAGATAACGAACCCAAACTTATATAACCTTCCAAACAACTATCTACAAATCTACTCTCCTTAACTCTTCAACTCCTTACTACTACTACAGACAACAACGACAACCCAATCAAAACAAAACCTACCTCTATTTCAATCTCTATAGAAATTGACAGCGATACCCTTGAAAATACACTACATAATACTGAAGCAAATAATAACACTCCTCTTCTCCATGAAATCCTAATTACTAAAACTTTACCCCCAGATACCACTGAATCCAACAAGAACACTATTCAAACAACTTACTCATCAATCATACAAAAAACCCAAAACCAAACCAACACCTCAAACACCAAACACCCTAAACTTGAACCAACCTACGACTGGCTCTCTAACTTTCCCATAACTGAGAAAATGGAATAAAACAACAAACTACAAACTGCCTTCTCCCAACAACTTTATGATTTCCTCAAAAAACATCTCCACAACTTCTATTCTGGCACCACTATTAAAACTGCATCTCTCAACAAGCAACCACTTAAAGCCAGCTTCTACTACATAATTTGCTATATGGCAGGAGAAAGACCCATATTTCTTATTAACTATATTCACCAAATTAACTCTGACATTAATAAACAAGCAACTATTCCCTTTGATATTATTGAAAACACTCTTAAAAAAATCATTGCAAAATTTACCTCCTTTCTTTTTACCAAACTAAATTACCTTGAAATATTCGCTTCACCTGCAACTATCTCTCTGTACAAATCTGAAAATTGGCTCCAATTCTGTTTAAACCTAGCAAAACTACATCTCTACCTTTATGATATATACCAAGCTATAGACTTTAATAAATTTGCAGAAGGCCTTAACCTCTAGATCAAGACCTACAAACTCACTTCTCAAATAGTTAATACTAACAAAGAAGGAAGATACCTAACCATCAAATCTGATAACAAATTTAATATCAACTTACTTTTCAATCTACCCACATCTCTTTTTGAGAAAAATTTCTCTATTCCCTCTCTTAAAAATTCTTTGGATCATTTTAAAGAATGGTTCGAGAACTTCTTTCCTATATATAGTCATCAATTCAAAGACCCACTAAACAAAGAAGATACCTTTGGCAAAATCTAATCCAAGATTTGTAGAACT